ACTAGACCACCCTTGCCACCCATAAAGCATAAGCATAACCATAAGCAGTTTTATTTATGCAAAAGAACCAATTAATTAAACGATTTTAAGACAACAACATCACGAAATACTTAAAAAAACGAAATAGTTGAAAAAATTTGAATCAAAATAAAAAAAAACTTTATGATTAAAATCAAGGTTATCTTTAAAAAGCGAGTGCGATCTGAATATAATTGTGCTCGAAAAAACAACAACAACAACCAAAAAAAAAAAAACACACAAAGAAAAGAAAATTCCAGGTTAGACGAAATGGACTTTCTTTGACACGGAGCCATCTTGACCGGACTGAGTTTCGTCTCAGGAAGTGTARAAGTGAGAGAGCCCGTAAAAGTGTTAACGAACTCGGTGTTTGGATACCTAGAATCATTCAAATGAATCATGCGCTTGTTATTGGAGAAATATGCGATGTTTTTCTGTCATTGTTTAGTAGAGAAACAAAWGTAAAAACATAAATAACTTGTGGCCTGGAAATGAGAGCTGGAATACGCAAATCTCTAATTCATGAATTGTTAATGATCTATAATATTACCGAGACGGTGTCTAGAAAAAAACGATTAAACACAGGTAACCCTGGTGTTGAATTGCCTTGATAATTATGCATGGAAGTGAGACGCAAGATCAAGCACTCATGCACGTTTTCTCTTGATCAGCGTAAAAATGTTTCAAAAGCGCATCAAAATGGATCAATATTACTCGGCTACGCCTCATTTCCTTTGTTTTTTTTTTAGGTATTGTTGTTGTTCTCAACTTCTTGTTTGTTGTTGTTGTTGTTGTTGTTGTTGTTTATTTTTCTACGTGTTTTGATCCGCTTATTAAACACTTGTGTCTGATCTAGAAACCGTACACTAGCTCTGCCATAAATACCGTCTTGTCAACCTAGTCAATACAATAAAATATACAATATAGTCAGAGAAATTTACCTAATTCTAATACAAGATGTCTGAACCTAAAGGGCTATGCACGCTCCAAGTGCAGTATAGCAGAATCGATATTTCTTTCTAACGGTAACCGCTATTTTACTTTAACCAGGCTCAGTTGGGCAGGCTATTGAATGACAAAGCGGCTCTATTCCACGTATATTTTGAAAACACTTTTCTGTGACTTCACTGTATATCGGAAAAGAATGCGTCTCGAATATTCGCGCATTAAGTAGCTTTGCTTTTAGTAGAAACACGTGTAAACTTCACGCTCAAAATGCTTTCTTTTCTTTCTTTACTTCAATAATAAAAACATCACAATTGAAAAGAATATCGGATACGGAAGGAGGGCAGAAATGAAAAAAAAAAAAATAAAATTACATTGCGAGAAAGATCTAAAGTTATTAGGCTCTCAGTTTATCTTGGTTAGCTGAGGAGCAGGTGCCGCAYTAAATGTCAATAAACATGAATGACTGCGATCGATTCCCAAATCCAAACTGTGATCAAGATAAAAACTAAATTTGTTTGACTTAACCTGCTTTAATAGTACTTAAACTCTAATRAATTGTTTTTATTTTCACTTCATAAAAAAAAAACTAACGAAATTTGGTAATATTTTAAGGTTTACAATAGAAGTACATATATTATTTTCAAACAGTCTCGAAACTACCGAACGTAACAAAGCTAATACTACTCGAATCGTTTTGATCTCAAAAGGTTTGTTATTCAGTAGAAAATTTTAAAATAGATTTAACTGACCTCAGAGTCGCTGTTATCTGGACTTTCTTCTTCGACGTTATTAGGCTCACCGACTTGAAGTGTTTTCAAAAATAAAAAATGATCAAAAACTAATCCGTATAGAATTAATAAACACAATATACACGTTAGCAATATAACAACATCCATACTTTTCTTGTAGAGAAAGTGGAAGAGCTGCAAAAAGGCGATCATGACATACTTCAGGCCAGTTGTTTTGGAGGGGCGAAACGTCTCCACGCACTCAATATACAAAATTGCAACTAATATCACGATTATGTCCCTTAAAGCAAATTAAGGCAAAAAAATATGCTAATTTTTGAAGGCCGAATGATAAAACACTTATTTCATCTTCATTTTCCCATGGTTACATGGCGGTTTGAATGTAAACAATACCGTAAACTACTTCATTCAATACTGTACTTATGCAATCCCGGAAGTGTATTCATTTATCATCCAAGATTGCACGATTTACACGCGAAAGCGATCATATGTCCACTGATGTAACTAAAATACACTGTCATAGCTGTCCTTTCGCGTGAACAAATGCTGTGTCGATTGGAAACGATGTATTACTAAGAAAACCGTCTGCAGTAAAAATGATTTATAAAACGAAAAAGGAGCTACGACATTGAATATATAAAACTATATATTCGTGTCCAAATATTTACGACTTTTCCATAACATAAAATCTACTCACCGTTGTTTCTTCTAAGTAAATGTAATAAAACACTTTAGGAACAACATTCATGTCGTTTAGTTTCTACGAATATTCCATATATTTGTCAATGGGGATAAACACGATACTATAACTGTAAGACGTTTAACGGTGACAATCAGAAGTGCATGATTTGTCCCCATAACTAATACTTTCGGAAAGGTAATTTATTCTTTTGTTATCTTCATCATCTTGTACACGTAGTATCAAACTTAATTTCTTAATTTTTTTGTTTTTAAAGTATTTCTTGATGGAGGGCTAGTCTACTTTTAGCATTTTATTTTTCTATCACAGCAATATTCATTATGTATAATCTATCTCTTGTCTCAGCTTCTACTTTCAATTTTTTTTAAACTATTGTTTCCTCAATAATTCAAATTTTAAAACATTTAATTGATTTCTATTCTAGCGGCTTTCTTTTTATAGTGAAAAGTCATTAAGTATCGCATATCTGTAATTACAAAAAGAAATTTAGTTTGAATGACTAAACGATACAATTTAAATATTATTCCGTCTCRATTTAAATCATTTAAATAWTCCCCCGGTCCCCCTTAAAATCAATGTTGCTATGGRYATGATGTATATTGACTYAGCTTTCAAARGCATGTCCACTCTTAAGCATCAAGAAACACRGAAGGAMAAGTTAAGAAGTCAGAAATGTGTTTGTGCATTTCGTGAAATACTGAGAAATGTCTAAACGTTCTAACAATTTTGGAAACGATTTTACTTTTAGCGTTTTGGTTTTACAGATATAACTAACGATCACTTAAACGCTAATACTTATTCCAATATCCTCTTTCTTTAAAACTATGAATTGTTGAATGTCTGTATATCAGAATATACRTTCATTGCAAAGTTGACACCAGGCATGGTTTAATAGCAAAGTGTCTCTTTGAAAATCGCCAAAACTGTCATGTGAATAATCCGATTTTTTTGAGATTCGTCAAGACGTGGTCCAGCTGCACAATCATCGCCCTGACGTAACATTTATTACTGAAAGTACACTATAAAAAGCCTGGTGCGGTTAGGTTAGAGCTCATTAAGTGAAATATTCAAACAAAAAACGCCTTTCGTGGAAATACAACTTAGAGGAAAAATCATAACAACATAATACTAACCTTTATAGTAGCAATTTGAATCTTTGCTTCTTCAAGCGTACTTGGTGATGACTCCAATTTTTCAGCCTCGTCAAGATGTCCTCCTAAAGATTCCTTCATTTCATCAARATTATTGTAAAACTCCTGCATTTGCTTGAGCTTTTGCTCAGCTTCAACCAACTGACTTTGCATGCGACTCATGTCTCCGATGGCCTTGGAAACTGACGGCGAAGTAGCAGCTTGAAGAAGATTTTTACCAACAGCCTGCTGATCGATTAATTTTGCTATCACTACTTGGAGTTCGCCGATCTTTGAGGTTAATGAAGATTTATTAGTCTTTGAAGTATGTGATGGGTTTTCCATCGTAAGATCTGGACAGCTTTCAATAAGTGCATTAGTGTCGTCCATCCACTCATCAATTGATTGATCTCTAGCAATCGTTGCTTGGAGATCTTGACATTCAGCTGTAAGTGRATGTTTTAAGCRATTTCTRATACTTTCTACTTTTGCAATTCTCTCTTGGATAAGCAACTTGCTTTCTGTAGGGAGCTCGGGAAGGAATTCTTTCCCTTTGGACAAAATGTCAAGATAACTCTTCTCCGTTTCGTCTACCTTGAGTCCCACACTATGGCAATGCTCCAGGCGATCTTTRGCAGTTGCTAAATTAYAATTTGTGTCTGATTTTTCCCTGGATAGTAGCTCAGAGCGCATTTCTTGGCAAAATGCTAAATGTTCCTTACATTGTGRCTCAAAYMCMGAWATKTTCTCGAGCTGGTGTATTTTCTCTTTAAGWACCACTTGCGCATTATTCCCTTGGATTTGTATCCWCTTCAAGTCGTTTTCAATACTAAGCTCGTCAGAAATGCCACAAAGTTCTTTCACGTGTTCTATTGCATTTGTCGTTGACTGRAAGTGGGTACTCCATGATTCAAGCTTAGTTAAATTCTGTTGAAAACTTTCGATGTTCTCGTTCATCAATCCCTCATCWTCGATCATCACATCGGTACTTAATGAATTGTTAGTATCATCGATGATAAACCTGCATTTTTCAATGTCTTCCTCTGCTTGATTAAATTGTTGTATGTGATCATGGACATCTTCTATTTTCTTTTTGGTAGCAGRTCTCTCTTCGTCAAGCTTCTTTGAAAGACTCCTTAAGGTTTCTAGATCACTTTTCTTTTGAGAGTCARCATCTTTCATTTCATTAACTTTTACCTGAAGGCGATCGATTTCCAGCGCTTTTTCATCAAGTGCACACTCTAAAGACATTGCTTCTAGAAGCGCTGTTTCAAAAGGGTCCTCTCCAGTATCAAAAACAGGAGCAGCTTTATTTGATAACTGAGTCTGGTTTATCCAATTTTCAATATTTTCCATTTCTTTGCCGATGTTTTCRRTTTCTAATTTCTCCTTTTCAAGAATACCTAATCTTTCCYTAATCTTATCTTTTGACGACTGCCATCGATTCTTGAGAATATTWAGCTTTGTGGATGGYTCYCCCTCTTGTTCGTACGCAACTGCCGGAGTTACACGACARTGATCAGAAAGAYCATTAAGATCGTCTTCATAACTTTCAAACTTAGAAAGTATCTCTTTGATGTGATTCATTCTGTCACTCACTGTTCCATGCAGGTCGTCTTCAAGAYAGTCTTCTAAAGCTTCCAGATGTGATACGCATTCTACATATTCCTGCTGAAAAACYCTGGTTGCCTCTGAAAGACGATCTAACTCCTTGCGTTTGACATTTAATTGTTCTCTTAGTGTRGTCCATTCATCAAGTAACTGATTGGCGCGCCTTGATGGCTGGGACTCGTCGCTGTCAACTTCATCGTTGGCTAGTTTGCTTGCGTGTTCTTTGAAGGCAATCATGTGACTCTCTCGTTCGTCCATATCAGCTTCTAGTCGCTTTAGCTTCTCGATTTGATCATCAAGGGTCTCAACCGTGCAGGTAAGGTTTGCAGGCACAGCTTCTTTGTAGATAGTTAGCATACTTTCACAATATGCTGAATCRTCGTTGAACTTCACAAAATCMTGAACTCTGCCTTCTGCCTTTGCTATTTGATCTCTGACCCTYTCATTGACACTTTGATAYCGGGACTCRAGTTCTTMTAACTTATCYCAATAAGCACTTTGTTCATCTTTACTCAATCGGGTCATTAAACTTTCCTTAGCCTCGTTCAAAGATTCGAGAATGGTATTGGCGTTTTCTAACTGGATTAATGCACTATTCAGACTTCCTAAAYCTTGATTAGTTGAAGCTAAATCCTTGTCATCACTATCGTCATAACTAGCATCAGCCACAGCATCGATTTTGGCGTTACAATCTTTAACCTTGTCCGCTATCTCCTTGACTTGATTATACCATATTTCTAGTTGATCCTGCTTTTGTAAGGCGTCTGTTTTGGTGTTACGCCATTCATCTCTTAAGGAACTCACTTGTGCARCTGTTSTATCGTTTTGAGAAGGACAGTGATCCTCATARATCCTTCGCTTTGCCTGTTCGAGAACTTCCACCTCAGACTCCATTTCGCGAATATTTTTGACAAGACGTCGTTGTTCRTRAAGATTGGATTCAGCAAGACTAGGCGTCAAAGAAAATYTGATGTTATCTGTGRWCTTCGCTTGYTTAAGTAGSCTTTGACATTTTTGAAGTTGYTCYGAATACTCTGTTCTATCTTTCTTGAYCCTAGTTAACCTTTCTTCGRTTTTGGCAACGTTTTCTTTTGTCTTTTGGATTTGTGCTTGAACATTTGCYAGTTTGGCTGAGMTCTCYCTGTCTTTTTTCAAGCCTTGAAGAAAATMTTCTGAACTCAAAACACTGTTGATCATYTCCTCGTACATGGGCAGTTCYGCTCTTATATTTCTGAGCTTTTTCGCRTGGTCGTCTTCCACAGCGTCCGGGTTTTCTTCGAAATCAAAGGGAATCTCACAGTTTAGTAGCTCCGTAGTCTCATCGACCCATTGAGKGCAAGAATCTAACTTCTGGTGCTGTTTGTTGAGTTCTTCTACTTCTTCGTGYCAGCTTTCTAMTATCTTCGGAAGGCAAACCGATAACTCAGTGAGCCTTTTCTGCAAGTCACCTATTTTAGAAATTTGCTGTTSATARAGCGATTCGCCTTCCTCTAAAAKTTGRAGCTCGCTTTCTTTAAGGGGTGCTTCTTGTTGTACAACTATGCATTTCTCTAAAACAATGGCCGGGGGTTCCTTTAGKCTATCACTGCAGTATTGCTCTGATTCATCTAGCCACTGCTCCAAAACAGAYAGCGAATGATCTATTTCTCTYTTTCTAAGAATYCGTCCTTCTATTTCAGAAGTGCGAATACTAAGTTGATTTTCAAGGTCCAGTAAGCTTGCGCTCATGTTTTCGAGGTCGCCCATTAGAGATTCACGAAGGYCAGGCGAGACYGTCTCAAACTCTTTCWTCATTTGCTCCTTGGCTTGGCTTAACTTGTTTATCAAACTGGACATTTCAGAYTTCATATRCTTACACTGATCGAGTGTTTTTCTAGCATCTTCCTCATTGAGTAATTCTGGTAGATCATCTTCAAGTAARTCCCTCTTGATGTGAAGCCACTCCTTGCACTCATTAACGTGATTTGTAGCCTCTTGCACAGATTTCAAACAATCGTTCACCTCATTAAGCTTGGATGAAATTTCGTCTTGAAGACTAGATATTCTATCATGCAATTTGGTGATCTCATTCTCATTGCTTTCTTTGAAGCTGCTGTTTAAGTCMACAGCATTCGCTCCCACCTTGTTCTTCAYAGATTCAACAAAGTTTTCGTACGAGAGTGTTTCCTTATTTAACGACTGGAGCTTGTTCAAAGAGTCTGACATGTCCTCTACTTTATCCACGCCTTGCTTCATGGATGACAATTCTTCTTCGGTGCTTTCGATCCACGAGGAAACTTCACTAAAGCTACTGCTCAGCTCTTGTTGAGTAGCTAAATTAGTTCGTATCTCCAGAATTTTTTCTGTGAACTGCACTTGAAGGGATTCCCATTTTTCAATCACTTCTTGTTGTTGGTCTTGAGCATACTCTTTCAATACTTTCATTCCTGAGGTATCGATCGCTGCTTTAGTCACCTCAACATTTGCAATGCAATCCCCCTGTTGCACAATGTCACTAAAATTCTTAATCCTTTCGTCAAGATATTGTTGAAGCTCTTCCACATTCTCAAACACGGGTATCTCATCATTGCTWAGTTGTTCAAGTTTCGAGACAACAAGTCTACACTGAGATATCTGATCGTTGAACGCACTAATTGCATCATTTTGCTCTTCTAAAAAGTTACACCTTTCTTTTAAACTTCTTTTGGCACTTTRGAATGAATCTTTTAAAGATGACAATCGAGCCTTTAGTGTCTCGTCAGTTTTACKATRAATCATGACATTATTCAGATCTTCTTGTCTGGACAGAACTTCCGATTCAATTTTTCGAATTTCCTGCAAAGACTGCGATAGAGAATCMTGGTTCACTTCACTCATAATCCTTTTTGACTGAARCTTCTTTGCCTGCAGCCACTCACTCATTTCTCCAAGTTTGTCACCCAAAGCTGAAAGCTCGTTRGACGTGGTATTTACTGCTTCAACTTCAGTCTCGATATCTTCTTTCATTTTCTTCGATCTCTCACAAAGTTCGTTGATCTCAGACCTCATTTTCTCCTTCTCGGTGTTAGACAAAGCATTCATTAGATTTGGAGCCTCTTTTACTAATACGTTTAACGGCGATTCTGCATCGTTTAGTATATTAGAAATTTCCTTCAGACTGGTAAGCTTTTCATTCAAGGAAACATTGGTGTCGTCTTGAAGAATGGATGCGAGATCTTTTTCCTTATTTTCCAGCCATTCGGCACTTTCATTGTACTGCTTTACATACTCTTCATTTCCCTTAACTTTCGTTTGAAAAGTCTCCGTATTTGCCCTAACTTTTTCTTTGACATCCTCCAAAGCCATTTGAAGCTGATTTAGTTGTTCTTGTTTGACTCTCTTTTGACTGGGCTTCAGTTTTTCAAGCATAGGTGCGCTCTTTTGGAAAAGAGATAACGCAGCGTTTTCTGATGACACTAACGCTCCTTGCAATTGCTCTACTTGCTGCTCAACCACAGGGATCTCAATTTCCAGGATCTCTTTCTRTGCCTCAGCTTCAGTGTGATTTATGAGATCACGACAACGATTAAGTTCTTCATCTAAAACTGCARTTTCCGACATTGAATTRCGGCACTCGTCTATYGCAACATTGATTTCRGATTTGAGTTTTTGMATCTTTTCAAATATATCAAAGTTTCTAGAGGAAAGGGAATGACCTACATCTKCAAGCTCCTCGAAATATTTCTTGTTGCTACTATCAATGCTTGCTAGTTTGCTTTCCAAGAGCTCTACTTCTCTTAAAAGTGCCTCCAYATTTAGTATTTCCTTTTCAGGTTCATCATCTGCTGAAGTTATTTCTTTGAATTGGTCCTTTGTTGAACTAATTTGTGAATCTAAAGTATTTAGGTCATTGTCCAGCTGACAAACTATATCAACCTCATGTTGTTTAGAGTCATATAACGATATGAGATCATCTAGTTGTTTTCRTAGATCATTAAGAAGAGCCTCGTTGGTTTCGATAGTTGTGTCCTTCAGGTCCTCGCCCTCCTCYAGTACATTTAGTTCGCCATTTATTTCCACGAGTTTTTCGAGCTTTTCCCTTCCTTCTTCAAGCTCCTTTTTGACTTTAGCAATGTCTAAACTCACTTCTTCTAAGTGTTTGGTTTCGAGTGATGATAGCTGTTGAACGGGTTCTGACTGCAGCTCGTTAAGGTGCTTRTGAAGTTGAGTAAACTGCATATCGAACATCATCTTCTTYCTTTCAAATTCACTTCCTTGTCTCCCATGTCGTCGTTTTCGACCTTCAACTAAACTCGTGAGAGCTAACCAGTCCCTCTTTACCTTAGCTAGTTCTTCTSRCAACGAGTCCCTCTCAGACCCACTCAATTTGTCATAGGCTTCTTCGGCYTTGWTGATKAGCGCTTCYATATCATCTCTATCAGAATTCACCGCGGTTCGTGCATTGTTATTTTTTCCATCTTCAGCGCTTTTCATAACACTTTTAATCCAGAATAAACGATTAGTCAAATCACTCTTTATTTTGTCCGTATCCAGGSCGGGTTCACTTGAGTCTTCTTCCGTCTCACCTAGGCATTCCTTCAGTTCCTTTTTCTTCTCGTTTGCTTGTTCTTGGAGTTTAATCCATTCTTCTTCAAGTCTAGTCAACTGCTCTTTAACAACATTACTCTCTCCTGGTGGTAATTTACGAACAAGTTGATTCCCTTTCTCAAGAACTGATAAAATGGAAGCTTGGTGATTTTTTATTTCGCTGCATAGATCCAAGTGACTCTGAAGTTCTTTCCGAATACCTTCTTCATCATTGGTGTCTGGTCCGTACAAAGCTATTGCAGCACCGGCTTCCTGCATCCACTCAACGCATTTCTCAAGCTCATGGTAATAGGATGCTTGCTCTGCAATGCAATTTTCCATTTGAGATCCGTAGGCATCGGATAATTTCTTGATGTTTGTCCAACGCACCGACAGTGATTCTAGGTCATTTCTGATTTGCTCCCGCTCACCATCAGGAACATTACTTGATATCCTGCGACCTTTCTCCATCAAATCGTTGACAACCAGAGTATTTTGCTGCAACTGGGTGTAAAGTTGTTCATGCCTGTGGATTTCATCCATCTGRTTGTCCTCGGGAACAGTGTACATATCGGTTGTTAAGACTGCCTCGGCGTTATCAAGCCATTTGTTGAATTCATTCAGCTCCATTGAATACACTTCACTTTGTTTCCTGAGTTCTTTAGCTTTCTCTTCGGTCACATGTATTTGCACCTTGACTTCCGATGCGCGTTGTTTAAGCTGTTGCACTCCAGACCAACTGTCACGTAAAGACTGAATTTTCTCAGTTAAAATAGGCTTTTGAGCATCTGTAGCTTGACCAAGAATGTTCTGGCCTGAATGAAGGACCATTTCAACTTTCTTCCCAAGTTGTTCCAGGTCTGTTTCGTCAGAGAGACTTTCAGAAACTCCTTTAAGCTCATTCATGCAAGCTGTAAAGTCTTCTTGAAATTCTTCTTGTTCTTTGATGGACTTCAAGATATCTTCTTTCTTATCAATAGCGATTTTGTTTACTTTTTTCCAAAGTTCGGCAATACTTTTCAGCTTTTCCATTGTCTCTCTGCGCTTTGAAGGTTCTTCGTGGACAATGGATTTCGCAACTTCACTGAGATTGTTAATAAAATCTTTTTGACTTTGTAGCTCCCCAAACAATGCCTGGTAAATCATAAAAAAGCCATTGACTTAAAAGGTAAATCATAAGAGGTAACCTCCAGAGTTGAAATTGTATTTTAATAATCCAGTTAAATTCAATTTAGAACGCAAACACTAAAACCATTAAAACAAATTTTAATAAAATAAAACTAATGAAATTAAAAATTGAACTGTACTGAATTTCTTCATTTTCTAATGTTTAATCTATCTTGCGATATTTAGCKCTAGGTGATTATTACTTTTCATGTATTTAGTGTTTGCACTCTATAGCCTGCTCATTACTGCAAGGAGTATTACCTCAAAGTGGGAGAGCTTTTCCTTCATTGCCCATAAGTCAGCTTCAATCTCTAGTTCAGTCGATAGGGAAGACTCCACCTCTTTAACAACATGCATGCAGCTTTGGATTTGTGTGTCAAAGTCTTGTTGTTGTAGTATCTTACGCATAAGCTCTTCTTGTTTAGTRACAGCATTTCGTATCACATTTTGTTGTAGCTCGCTTAAAGTATCGAGTTGGTTCTTGACATACTCTTTTTCTTCTTCAGGAACTAGACTATTAAGCATTTCTTTCCCTCTTGTTTTAAGACTTTCCAAAGATGGTTGAATGTTTTCCAAGTCTTCAAATAAAACCTATCAAGTAATTGAGGTTATATTTCAGTGTCATCGCAATGGAGAATATCACGACTTGTAAATATATTAATAGGACACAATCACAATCACAATCACAATTACAATCACAGCAAAAAGGAGAATAATCATAATAATAACCCTACTAATAATATTTACAATTTATCATTTATACCTTCACATCTGCAAGCTCTTTTTCCATAGCCTTCAGATCTGAAACTGTAATTTGCGTGCCAAGCGATATCTCATAGCTCCTTAGCTCTGTCAGTCTTCTATCAAGATCCTCACTAAACTGTGACCATTCGCCTATTTCACCATTGASTTCGTCTCGTTTATTTGAAATTTTTCCAGTGAGATCTGACCACTGTCGCTGCATTGTTTTAAGTTTACCATCTATTGTTATTCGCCCCTCACTGTTACATCTTTCGCGTAGCTTTGAACCCTTCTGAAGAACGTCTTCCAAACTTGACACATTTCCTTCAAAACTGTTCGCAAGGGCCTATGAAAAGGTAACGAAAGATTATGAACTGTGTATTCAAGAAACATTTATAACAATTCAGGATAYTTCCAGGAAGCCAATTCATYGCTTATGCCGTTTAAGATATCTTATGGATAGCCTTAGAACTACCTAACRCCGCAACATCGTCACGCCCTAGATCCAATCGATGAGGGTCAACTGAGAAMCATTCCCAGCCACGTAGCGTACAGCAAAATGCGAAGAAACCAGAGAAAACACTGATTATTCTTATATCTTAGGGTATTGCACCGAGCTCAAATTGGTCAACAATCCGGAGCAGATAKAACCACTCATTCGCTTTGAGATCGGTGTCAATGTTGACAAGGTCACCAGTAGCGAGGGGAGGGGTTTTGAAGTACCTTCAATTTTGCAAGCTGATTCTTCAAACCATTGTATCCAGGTTCTCTTTTTYCTTCACTTTCATTCAAGCAKACTTCCGTATGAGTCATAAAGTCACCCAATTGATTAATACAATCCTCGAATTCCGATAAATCTGAAAGAACCTCCTTTAGAAAACGGCTTCTCTGAGAGACCATCTCTTTGACACTATTCCATTGATCGTTAATTTCTTGGAGCTCAGGCTCAAATGCCTCATTTTCCTCGATTTTGGAGCTGATTTCCTGGCCCTTTACGTTTATAAAGTCAAGGATGAGCTCTTGAATTCCCATGTCTTGCTTGAGTTTCTGAAAAGCCACAGAAAGACGGTCACTAAAGGATGTGTGTTACCACAAAAACATCATGATTACACAGTCATATATAACTTTTCTTGAAATGTGTGGACACTTCTTTGTTTATTACAAAAATTAAAATTAAAACATGTTTGCTATTAAAAGAACTCATTAATTTATTACTGTTGCCACGTACGCACGAAGATCTCTKAGCAAATCATTGGAATTTATCATCCGAATATCGTACTTAGATCTGTCTAGTCTCAATAACAGATTATGGACATGSTAAATCCCTTCATATATATCTCATATTGAGAAATCACCCAGACTTACTTTGTTCCTCTCGAGTTCTTCTTTCAAGATCTCTTGGTCAGGAGAAGCATTTCCGTACTTTTGATGAGCGTTTTGTACATCTGCAAGCCACTCCGTTAGCTTGGTTCTGTTGTCGTTGTACTCTGTCCACTGCGTCAASGTATCTTCAACTTCAGTCTTGACAGAGATGGTGTTCTGACAAAAGTCAGCCCACTCTTCCTCAAGGTCGTTTAACTGACTTTCAAGAGTGGATTTAGACTCACCAGCGATAAGTTGTAGCAGAATATCTCCCTTGTTATACACTTCCCCYATCAATTGGTCATTCTTGTCCATTTCATCAACTAGGATCTATTTTGAAATACAATCAAAGCTCACACGACGATAATGTACCAATAGTCGGGTAGAATCACTTACTTTTAGACTTTTTACAATGGTACATGATTGAGAGCAAAGCATATTCTCTATTTTGATTTGAGCCATGTAAACAGTTAATGTGTCAAAGAGTTTCCAGAAATTCTTACCTGTAATTTTTGGTTAATATCCTCAAGGTGAGCTTGGTTACGCCACATGCCTTGACACTCTTCTAAAGTAGCTTGTGCTGGCTCAATCCACGCACCCCATTCCTGGACACTCGAGTTGTACTCGCCGAATTGATCGATTACACATTGGAGCTCTGAGAAAGTATCAGGAGCCATGCCAAGTCCTTCTGATAATTTGGAAGCAGCCTCATRCATAGAAGATTGCACTTGGGGGAGATCAAGCTGAGATTTTTGTATATCTTCAGAGAGATTGTCAAGCTCGATTTTCTGCTCTTGCAAGTTGGTATGAAGCGACTAAAATGTTATAAAGTATAGTTTATACAACTTTTAAGAGCACAACTATAACTACCCCAAATAGGCAGCGACGCCATTTTGTGCAGAAAAGCATGATGGTGATTTGGTAGTCCTCGTACTTATTATAGACCTTAAAATATCTCCTTAAAAGACTTCTTTTACACTTTCTTTGTAGAAACGGCAAAACAACAYCATCTATGTTGGGTTAGAAAAAGCAAAAGCATTTCAGAAGAACTGTTTTAGCAGAAATGAAGAAGTACGAGGACTACAACTACCATCATGCTTTGCTGCACAAAATGCAGGGAAACTATTCATCTCGCCTAGAGGACAGATGCCAGATTTAATTAGATTAAATCTTTTTTGTTCATTTATCCGTTCATTTTAGCTTATAACAGGTTTTGATGCAAAATTATGATTAATGATTAAATATAGATTAATACAAACCTTGCAAACTTCCAGTTTTCTTTCGACTTCCTCCTCAGTATCTTCYGGATCGTAAACACACAATGATAACTCCTTACAAGTATTACTTATCCTTTCCAGTATATCATTCATTAGTAATTTAACCTCGTCTTCAGTTTTATCGGGTCTCGACGCGTCTTCATTATCTGCAGTAACAGTTTCCATACTTTCAGTTAATTCATCTTCACCTTTTTCKCCATTTTGTACGTTGGATAATGTGTCGTGTCGTTCACGTTGTTCCTCGGGACCTTCTCCTCCTGCATCTAAAAATACATCACAGCTGCCAATATTGAGACTGGAGCTACTCTGCTCAAATTCTGGATCGATGTTGATTGAAAACGTGCTCTGAGAACTCCACAACGTTTCCATAGATCTTTCACTTCTTAGACGGCGACGTCCAAGATCAGACGTTGAAATGTCACTTCCGACTGACTTAGCACGTTTTTGTTTAAGATTACCAAGATCCAACCTTGTTCTATCGACATTTGGGATTGAGACGGASGTTTTTCGTTCAAGTTTCGCTATTAATGTAGGGTCATCGTCCGTAACGGGAAGCCCTGCCAGCTCCTGCACACTTTTCCACTCTCTCAAAAATGGCTGAAAACTTTCGCTCATGTCGACATCGATATCGTCAGCAAAGTTTTCCATCAGTTGGACTGCCTGCCAGCTTAGCCGTTTAACGCGGTCTTCTTGAGAAGCAACTTTACCCTAAAATATAATAAAGAAATAACTCTGTAAGTTACCATAACAATAGGGGTGCGAAGGGCGCGCAAATGACAAACTACTACTGTCAGAAATTTCTAGTAGAGATAAGTATGATATGATACATAAYGATAAATAATTTTAAACACCTTAAGTTTTTCTCTCCGTATCACAACCACAGGCTCTTCTTCTAATTCATCGTCAGAAACAGATAATTCTCTTTTAACATCGTGGAAGAGTCGGTGCATTTCGTCTTTGTTTTTCTCAAGATCTTCCAGTTGTGCAGCAACTTGTTCTAATGCTTTTTGTTTATTGTCGACCTGGAGACGAGTTTCTTTGAATTGCTTGTTGACCTATATACAAAGCGTTTGAAATGTTAAATCTTCAAGATTAATCGTGCTGATAGAGCTTAAAAGACAATAAGACAATAAATGCCAATCCTTTCTCTTCTTACCAAGTTTTCTTTGTGGTCCAATTTCTCACATTATCTGAGTTGCTTCCTCCTCAAACCTTTTTACAGCAAAACCGCGTTGCATCGCGACAAAGTCAAAAAAAATCGTTGGGATTTGGGTATTTCTGCGACTTGGGAGCGGAGCTTACTACAAATCAACCAGCCATTGATGTAACAAAAAACCTCCACCCCCAAGATCTCAGGATAGAACAGATCTCAGTTCAAAACGAAGAAGTCACGATGCAAATGTTTTCGCTGTAAAGAAGTTACATTAAGTAACAACGGATGCCTAGCCTAGTCGTACCTTACGTAGATCATCTTCCATGGTTTTAACATCAAACCCTTCTATTTGTTTCAGGTCTTCTAACAACATGGATGCCTCCTGATTTACGTTATCCATGACGCTCTCGGTCTCTTCCATGTTTTTATTAAGGTTCTGTACAGATAACAAATATTTTGTTATCATTTCAACCACAAACATACGGTACAATATATTATTTAATTACTACTGCTGAAATTTTTTTCTTTTTTTTTCCATTTTTCTATTTATTTCACACAAGAAATCTAGTCAAAAACTGATAAATCGACCGAGCACATTTTAGCCAKTGTTATGCTAAAAATATAAGTCCTGATAAATTTCGCTGTCAATCCATACCATGCATTCTTCAATTTGTTTTTTACAGTCATCTGCTGTTCGGATTCGCCGACGTGCAACAATGTTCTGGGTGTTGTTGAAGAAGGAGTTCATTTTATGTTTCTGATTCGAGAAGCTCGTCCACTTGTCTGAAACCCGTTTGAAATACTCTTTCTTCTCGTTGATGCCCTTTTGGAGGTTTTCAAACTTCTCGATGAGTTCCTTGATTTCTTTCATGGCCAAACCACCTTCATCGTCGTCTTTCATGTCTTCGGCTGCTTTACTTAAGGCTTCGAGATCAAGCTTGTGAGCATTCAGGCGATCAAGAATATTCTAGAATAGAAAATAAATATGGAAACTCTCAGTAAAGTTATACTTACGTTATGGAACAGGGTTATAAATATCGTCATAATCCATCGAAAAACCACCAACACTACAGCGGACTCCTATGGTGGCGAGCAGATACCAGGAGTCTTCGTCAGTCAACTGGTTGCACAATGACCACCTTTCCTAACATTTTGCTATAATTACCTGGTAAGTGTTCATTTGCTCTTTTGCATTATCGAAACTTATTCGAAAATCAGCATCATTTTCCTTCTTTTTGAGCCAGCGCATCATCTTCATCTTGTTTCGAGTGAATTCCCACCATTTTTTGGCAGTTTTCTCGATAGAATGCTTTTTCTCTTCAATTTCATGGATGACTGTTTTCCATTCGCAGTTCAGATTTCCAAGCTGCTCRTCYAAAGCCATTGCTTTACCAGAAGATTGTTGRTGRACCATCAGATGTCCTTCTTTGACAATGACGTCCAGGTCCAGACACTGTTCGTTCCATTTGGCCACTTTTGCCTGACATAYAACAGGGTATAATGAAAATATGATAAATTATTATAAAAGGGAAAGCCCTAAATGTTTTATCTGCTTTTGTACAGTAAATATCTAGGATTATGAACAACAACAAAACACCTATTAAACACAAAGTTCTAAGTTTTGCAGAAGTTCTTACCTTCGCTTTTTCAGACTCTTCTTTGATCTTTTCCAATACGGCGGGTGGGATGTCTTTGGCCGTACTAATCTTTTCTTCGATCTTATTCAGGTACAGAACAACTTGTTTAGATGAGTCTAAATAATGTCGCGATAYAACAAGTAGTTGATATCTTCCCGCTGCCCAGCGAAGCATTTCGTCCCAGCGTTCTGTAAGGTTTGTCAGTTTCTCATTCAGAGAATCCGCTGCTTCTCCTTGGCTTGAATGTAATCGAACTTCTCTTCCTTCGTTGATAAGCGCTTCGAATGAGCTCTGGCGTTTTCTAAAAGCAGCCTGGAACTCCTGTAATATAATGCATTAATATAAGTAAATTATGGTTTGCAAGCGAAGGTGCAGCTATGGCGGAAACATGAAAACAAGGCAATCTTCTCAATCTTCTAGGGTTAGAGTTGTTTTCATCAAAACCTTAACTAATCTTCAGTTATCGTAATGCTTATCTTGCCTAAAGTGGCACGTTGCGTTAGAAAAGCAATTTTCAATGAATAGTTTCGTCTCTATCTACCTCAAGATCTTTTAGCTGTTTTTTGGCATCCTTTTCATCTCGTGGCTTCTCGTGATGAGTTAAGGCTTCCATTTCTTTGAGCCATGTCACAAACTCCTCCAGCTCACAGTAAAACCTGCTCCAAGACTGGAGTTCTTCCTTCAATGATTCCATGCGACCAGGGATACTGRTATTTAGTGAGCTCCATTTCTTCTTCAAACTGTCGCATTTTRGCTCGACACTGTCTTGATGAATGTACTTGCCATTATCTGTTTCCATRAATTCAAGGTAGCTRGACACGGCATCTTCGATCTGTTTTCCATGATTTTCGATGGAYTTYTGAAAYCCCTGAAAGAAAGCAAAAATATTTTTGAACCGCGCAATGCAATCGTTGGTGAGAGCAAAAAGTCCTTTTTGATTTTCAAACGACAAGACATTTATTCAGAAATCTTGACTAGACCTAAATTAAACACATCCTCGTCAGTTATCACAAGCTGAATGAGCAAATGCAACATCAAAGTCCTTCCGTCGAGGACCATTCAACTGGAATCATATACAGAAGAGCTTTCATGAACTGGAAATAATGGAAAGTTATAGTGCTTAGAAAGGAGGTTATTCCGGGAGAAAGAACCTTAGAAATAAATACYGAAAAATCAGTTTCCGACCTCGCTGGGGTTCGTACCCACGATCTTCGGATTTACTGATACCACTYATGGTAAACAAGGACTTACTTCATAGTATTCCAACGCTTCTCTCACGTATCCTTCATCTCTGACAGTCAATGTTTTCTCGTTGTTCATTTGACTCTCAGCTTCCTTTACCAAGAACTCCATGTTATCCAAAACTTGATCACGCTCAATCCAGTCAAGCCGTAAACTTTCAAGTTCTTCGAGTCTTTTCTCTGCACTACTTACGGCATCTTGCCATTTTTCCTCGAGCTGCTTTAGYGTACCTTTGATGTCGAGATCTTTGAGGCGAACACTCGCTGCCAGGTTGGATCCCTTCCAGATTAAGTTGTTTAGTAGTCCGCGAAGTTCTCGAAGATCGCCAATTAACAACTGGGGAATACGAAAATCAGCATTGAAAAACTGAGTATAGGACTCTTCGGATGCAAAATAAAGAACGAGAAACAGGGATAGTCTTCCTTGTTTCKCTCCCCTTTTCCAGTCCCTCCTTTGCTCCTCCCAAGAAGACTAAGTTAAGATAACTTTCCTTTCCCATTACTTTAACATCGATTATATCAATTACCTTGTCGTTTTCTATATGTTCAGAAACTTCTAAAGCATTAGAAAACTTTGGAAGATCCTCYTGAAGCTTCTCTTCGAGTTCTTCAAACTTCGAGGTGAATTCTTCAAAGGCTTCCTGGTATTCGTTGATTGGTTTCAAACCTTGCTCAACGGCACTTTCAGACATAACAGCCTTGCTGAAGAGCTCGTTCCATCTTTCTTTCAAGCTGCATAATTGGGCTTTGAAGTGCATGGATCCTACATTAGCAAAGCCATCTGAAAGACGTCGTCCTTCCTCGGTAAATGCGGCGAAACTTTGTCTTCGTTTCAGCAARTCGCTTGATACGCCCTACAAGGTCATTCGATATAAATCAGCAAAATACCGGACTAAACTTGTTCTCCCGATATAACTTTAAGACCACCAGCCAGTCAAGTGTATCCAACAATGTGATCCAGGGTTATTTTATAAGGTTGCCACGGATTTAGCTTTGGAGTGGAATTGCCCATCTGGTATTTACCTTTTAAAACCCTTATTGGGCTACACTCTATCTACTGCATCATCAACTAATTTCCTAATTTGAATGTACACAATATTTTTACACTATAAGTTGTGCACTCTTGCTTGCCGCAGAACATTCCAAAAAAGACACAAATTTGATTAAACAAAACATATAACTGTCATACCTGCACTTGATTCATCCATTCTTGGGATATCCGGCTTTCCTTGCGCCTTTCAAGTTTGGAGTCAACTCTATCCATGTACTCGACAAAGTCGTGCATTTGTTCCTTGATCCCATGCCATCGTTTGGCAACAGAATTCAAATGACCAAGGTGACCTCGAATCTCGTCAAAAAGCGARTTCCTTAARGACGCTATTGATGCCAAATCCTCGTCGATTTTCTCCCCTCCTTCGACGCTCGCCTTCATCTTCAGCTTTTCGCCAATTTCAAACATGAAGTCATATTCACTTAATCTTGTTTTGAGTTCCTCTTTGAATTCCTAAATAAAAATGTACAAACTCCTTAAAAGTTGTATAATGAAGGAAGTCTATAGTAAGAGTTGGAATTAAACGCATAATCAAACACACAATCCGTTCTAGTTCGACGTCTTAAGCTAATAGTGAAATAATGATAAACTAGGTCWGCAAATATTGCATTGCGAGTATCGCGCGACAATCTCAACTTCCGCGRACCTAAATCTTTTACAGGTGAYACAAAAWCMWTGCAAAACAAGCGTATAAATAAACTATTACTTAGGAAATCTAAGCGCATACTTCAAGATTTTATAGTGAACAACTTTCATAATTACTTGTTGATGTAAACATACCTTCAAGGAAGCGATTTCRGCGTTTATGATTTCAATATCAGAAAGRACCAAAGTTTTTCTTCTTGTCAGCTCTACTTCACCCATGGCAAGTGTCTCTTTAAAACATTCTTTACCAGACAGGAATTCCCTCCATTGTTCTAATACCTGGTTGAGTTCCTCTTCCCTTTTATCACACCTTTGCGCAACTTCATTTCTTAAAGCTTCGAGTATTTTGACAGCGGACTTTACGGATGGTAGGACTTCTGGGTCATCACATAGATCACTGATATCAGATACACACTGTTGAATTGGTTCTTCGTGMGTCTCGAGGGATTCAAGAATATCCTGTAAGTGACGATTTACACAATGTTAAATTCCTTGTTTACCTTAACTATTGACTGACCTGAAAACATTGAGTATATATGTACCGCTGATTTAGCCCAAAGTCAAAAACACACTTTTACAACGTCAAATCTCACATGTGCAGAATTCACATTTCAGTGTCACTGGCATTGAATTTGGACATGTGACATTCGAKYTTTGATACAGGACCGTGAGAGWGAAMGASTTAGTCAGTRAGMAATCAATGACTGGATYYCAGATTAAGTGAATGATAATCACTTTGTCAGTCCACCATTACTTTCAATCAGCATGAATGCCTATCTTCCTCTATTCCAGTCTATTTGCCTGATTTATATTATATTGAGCCTGTGTTTCTGTCTGTGTCGACATTCACATTGCTTCACATTTTCTCATGAACACTGCTTACCTACTMAACTTCCTATCCGTCATGCACTACGCTCGTAATGGACAAACCTTCAAGTTTTCAAGCTCCTTCTCGACATCCTGAATGCTATCCAAGCAGAACTCGACTTCTAGACGACTTCTCACTTCTCTAAGAAAGACGATATGTTCTTTCACCGTCTTCTGCTGTTGGAATGCTTTGTGCATGGCTCCTAGTTTTCCACTAGTCTCTGATACACTTGGGACTAGTGCCTCGATACGTTCTGTTACWGTTTGTACGTCTTCTTCGATTTCTTTGTTTTGTGTTCTCTCGTAAAGTCGTCCAGCAGTTTCGTGCATGTTTGACAGCATTTGCAAATAATCGTCCAGACCTGATGTGACGTTCTGAAAGAAATAATTTAAAAATGACTAGAAGAAAATAGAAAGAATCCATGAATTATTGCCCAGTAAGGAAAGCTGCCGAGATAAGACATGAGGTTGATATTTTGGCGCGAAAACGTCACGCTTGTCGCGTTTGGGCCTCGCGTTTGTATAGGTTGAAAATGAATCAGAGCGGGAGTTGACAGTAGCGGCGTTAACGCTAAAGAAGTCGCGCGTATCTGTTCAAAGCTACATCATATTTAGCAGTAAAAACGTTGTGTACCTGAAATCTGTGAACAAGATTCTGAAACTCAACGTAATCGTCAACCTGTCCTAATCCATCCAAAACAACWCGTAACTCCTCTGCCCAGTTAACCAACTCGGCTAGATTTTTATCATACTCCTCGAAGTCTTTTCCTGTTTCTTCCACTTTAGCAATCAACTCATTAGATTTGGTTTTCATTTCGTTCCATCTAACGTCGAGGTTTTTAATGATGTSATCTACGTTTTCYTCGGGAAAGGTATCTTGTATTTTCACTAAAGTTTCTTGCAACTGCTTKAAGTTTTCTTCCATTGAATTGTGTGTATCAGGATTTGATAAGACGTCCTAAGTAAGTGAAACGAAATGGGAAATAAAAAGAAAATAAGATAAAATATAGCAGAGGGAGTAAGGAATAAAGTGAAGGGAAAGGAAGAAAGAAAATGGAAGGGAAATGACTACCTTGCATTTTTCATACAATTCTTTGCTATATCCATCGCTACTGAACTGCTCTTCAATTGAATTAAGTTCGGTGGAAATCGTCTTCAAGACATCTTCGATTTTGTCCTTTTCATCCTGTATGTCTTTATCTAGTATCTTATGCTTTTCTTGGTTGTAGAGCTCATTCCATTGTTCAACGAGGGCCTGTGTCTTATTCCCTAATCTATTTTTAAACTGTTCATTAGGAATGATTGTCTTGAGTTTATTAGTAGTTTCGAGTAAAGTATTGCAGAGTTCTTGATTGGCCTCCAGAGCTTGCATTGAAACCTGGATAAAAATATCAGAATTTAGGAACATTAATAACAACTATATGCTAATGGCATTTTTCAATGTCTTGAAATATACATTCATCTGCCTATAACGGTTTCTAAACATACAATATTGTTTTCTGTAAAGAAAAAAAGAGGGAAAKCACATAAAATTATCAGTAATAGGCAGTTTACAAGGACYCTTGTCTTTTTTTGCATTTTGCGTCCATGAAAAATGGGTCAGCTCAAATGCAAACAGCAATCTAACCTTTGAATTGCGCATGCTTTTAATGTAAACTGCGCTTACACCAACCGTCTGATAGCTTTCATTGGGTAATAAGTACACTGGTRGAGTATATACGCAGCATTGTGGGATCGCACCAGCTTTCTTGACACCACTCACTTGAAACACCATTGCGCAYCAACAACAACAACAACATAAACAACAACAACGACAAAACCATATTTGCTTAAAAAACGATACCTGTTGCTCATCAAAGTTATTCATGTACTCCTGTAGCTTATTATAGCATTCTTCGTTAGCCTTCAATAGTTCTTGACACTCGTCTAGATTACTGAGATGCAGTTCTACACCTTCCCGCACTTGTTTCCATTGACTATTTAAACTGTTCATCTTAGTTTGTAGTTCACTAGTATCCACGAGTTCACTGAGCGACGCGCGAAGTTGTTGGTGCTGGTGATTTTTCACATCCACGAAGTGATCGTGCTGCTCAACGTCGGAAAATAAATCCTGTTGAAAAACCGATAAAGATGACTATTGTTAAGCGTATAAGAAGAGGAAGAATGCCAGCATTAAAATTAGTGTGAAAATAGGTAGAGCAATACTAGAGAGATCGTGCAAGGAACCCGTGTACTAACCTTGTAACGACTAATRTCTTTCGCAACATCATCGGTATTACATAAATTCTCATACGATTCTAGAGCATCTAAAGCTTGTTTGCTCCATGTTATTTCTTCTTCGATGCCACTTTCAAACACTTCCATTTGAGGAAGGATTTGTTTCAAGTTTCGATGCTTGTGAGGAAGTGACGATTTGATCTTTTCGAATCGTCTGTTTATGTGCGATAGAGTTGCATTAATCGACGACGTCATGTCGGTTTTAAAGTCTTTAAGGATGCCCTTTGTGAGGTGATTGACCGAGTTTACGTTCAGTTCGTATTCTTCCATCTCTTTCTGTGCGACCTGGAAGAAATAGAGAAAACGAGATATAKCTTCAACGAACAATGATGAAAGATTCATCGATTTATATGATCCCATCTACACTAACACTTTTTGTTTGCGCTTGCCTCAAACGCATCAAAATTACAATTATTTGAAAACAAAGAACTGTCGTTGCAGACCCCACTAATGCGTAAAACGCTGCGTATTTCTTGCACTTTCTTTGTGTGAACGGGGCAAAGGTCCCAGCTAGGTAGGTTACGTACGCATTTACGTGAGCAAGACGTACCTCAAACTGCTCAGCTCGRTCCTTCACGGAATTATAAGTACTTTCTACTACGTAAGTCAACAAAAACTCTGTGTCATAGATCCAATCCATGATYTCATCTACCATTTCTTCAAACTGTTCAAGCTTTGCGTTTTTCCGTTCGCATTTCATTATCCTCGARTGSCGTCGAACGATTCGGTTCAACCGACGTTCTATTGAACGTAACGCTTGCGTGATTTCYATTTTCACWCGATAGACGCAATTGTCCATTATGGTTTTACTACTGTCTTGAAGTGTTGTAGCGTCAGCTTGAATTTTATCGATGTTCTTGAGGTATTCCTGAAGGAAATAGATATTTATCATTATCATATAATAAAATTTTCGTCGAAAACTACTTGTTCTTTTCTCTCGTGCGCTCACTCGTAAGGTATCACTCGAAGATAAAACGTGCGGACCATATAATATGCTCTATATTACTGATTCCCTTCGTACTACGAAGGTATTGCGCAAACTTCTCTAGTTTCTTAACCCATTCAAAATCCCCCAGGATTGAGTCCCGTGCAAAACGTGACATTTGACGTTTAAAAGTATATAGACATTTCATACATAGAGTGCGAGCAAAACCAAGGTTAGTCAATTCAGCAATAATAGAACTCTGAAGCTTTTACGTCATATAACGTATACGCATTGCATTTTTGGATATGTTTGAACAAAACAAGGCGAATATCTGAATACATTGTTTTCTCCAGAAACTGATCCCACAACGCWTTGGAAATCCGTAGGTGACGTTAAAGTTTCTGAAGTCTATTYATCATCATAATGATATCCAGATTTGATACAAAGTCAATAACAATGTGAATAGAGCGAATCGATTTGAGACAAGTTGAGCTAGAAAGGCGCGATCTTCTAGTTTTCGTTTTTGTGAAAAACTTAGTACCAGCTCGCGAAWGAGTTTTRATTTCAGCTTACCTTACACACACTCAACTTGCTCTTCACAATCAATCTTTCAGCTTCCTGCATCCATAGGTCAATACTCTGCGATAGMGTATCGTAAGTACTCCATTTCTTGGTGAGATCTTCGAGAAACTTMAGTTTACTGCTACACTCGGCGGAGTAAGTCTCCCATAAAGCCTCAACGTCCCTGTAGGAATCTTCAATCTTTGCTTTTTCTTGAYTTTCTAAAAACTGACACCATTCAACAAAGGCTCTG